ACAACAGTCGTTGTGACAATCCCTGAAATTGAGGCGTTTTCCCTCACCACTCACCTCTCACTTACTGCTTCAAAATGGCGGAACGCCTTCTGTAATCGGTTTTAGAATGAATTGGTTCGTCCACTACTAAACAGGTTTTCCAGATTTAATGGCCAGTTTCTCCTTCAACTCACCCGCTTATACATTTCTACACTAGCGCAAGTAACTAAACATCAGAGATTTCCAGTCGTTGTCTGTCCTAGCCAATTGGTGAAACCGTGGAGGATCTTCATGCTGTTGGAGAAAAACAATGATTTGAATAGGTTTCCGAATTAGAAAAGCCGGATAAAAGTGCTCTTGCTTGTCTATGGACTCAGGTCAAGTGCTTGCTGACATGACAGGAAGGAATAAGGTGCATATCGTACACAGAGCATGGAGTTACCGTTGCTGGTCTCTGTGGCCACTGACAAAACTAGTACGTGTAATGACAGTCCGGCATTAATTATCATAGTTTATTAGGATAAAGGCAGTTATAAAGCTTTACTTTATGTCAGATTCCCTTTCGACTATCTGAGCAGTAAATCTGAGAACACAAAATCTTTCTGTAAAGATGATGAACACACGATCTCTGGGACAGTAGGTGTATTAGTCTGTGCTTTCCGTCTCGTACAGGAGGCCACCGTCAGAGAGCGTGAGAATGCAATATCTAATGAGCAGTTTTTATAGTCGAGCCATGAGGGGGGGGGATACGAGTGCAGAGGGTGATATTCGCGATAAGCTGAGTCCCACGGCGGCGTGACTGCTTGCACTCTAGGCTGGAAATTAGGTCTCGCCTCTTGGCCGCGGGAACGGAGCGCGTGATAGCAGGGGGGTTTGTCAACGTGCCTGCTGATAGAGTTGGTGTCAGACACTCTGGCCTTCAACAGTTCTCGCCCTGTCTTATTTTTGGCCCGCGCTACTATCCGCGTGCTCGCGAAGTTGAATTCGTGGCCTTCCTCCAGGGTGTGAGTGACGACCTGAGACCACGGGTCGCCTCTCCGGACCGCACGTTTGTGCTCCGTTATTCGTGAGCTAAGTCGTCGTCCGGTCTGTCCTGTGTTATGGCGAGGGAAGTCCCGACATAGGATCTGATAAACGACACCCGATTGCTCTCCCACGTCTAGGTGATCCTTCACTCGCATGATTTTATTACGCCTTGTCGCTGTCGGACAGTGAGCGATACCCACACCGAACTCTCCAGCGATACGTTCTTTTGCCTCGGACGCGTTATTTATATGTGGTAGAGGATTACAGAGTGTTGGCGGCTCTCCTCGGTTTGTTCGCCTTAGGTACGTGTGGAGGCAATGGCTGACGAAACTGTTTGGGTATCCATTCCTTGCCAGTTGGTCCGGATGGTGCTGCAGTTCTCATGCTCCTCCCTCCGGTCCACTGTAATGCGTCTTTACCCTTTGGAAGAGTGTCCTAACACAGATGCGTCATTGGGTGGTTGCTATGACAGTTGAGGATCTGAGTCGTGTTAGTCGCCTTTCTGTACACCGTGGTGTTGAGTTCGCCGTTGGGTGTGCGTGTGACGAGAACGTCAAGGAAAGGCGACTGTTCGGCATGCTCCTCTTCCCTGATGAACTGAATGTCCGGGAATAAGCTGTTGAGCAGGTCTTGAAAGTCGGCCAGTCTGCTCCTTTCAATTATAACGAACGTGTCGTGCATGCACGGGCGCCAAAATGCAGGTTCATAGTGGCCGAAATATTATTTGTGGGCCTGTTTGTCAGCAGTAGGGAGGTGACTTTCTGGCGTACGGTGTGTCTAGCCTCGTCGGTTGCGTTGGTTCTTACCAGCATGGCTTCAAGTGCGGCAATAAATTCGACTGGTTTGGCATCTACCGTATTAAAGTTGGCTTCACGACTCAGCACTCTCAGTTCTTTTGTCAGTGATTTTCGAGTGCTGCCATGCAAAATGTGAAGTGTTTTCCGCTTTAATCATAATTTAGGAATTTTATCAGCCGCACATCGAGCAAATATGCAGGTATTTCTATAGATGCCGCCGAGTGGGTATCCGTGCAGTTCTGAGAAGTAGTAAGTTGCCTTCTTGCTTTCATCCAAAATATATTACGATAAGCTAGTATAAAATGTCCACATTTTTCACTTACGGATCTTCCTACCCAAGCAACTTATACTGAATTAATGTTACCGAATGTTAACTAAACTCAAGAACTCCGTCCTAGCCGCTGGACTATTATGACTTCTGAAGGCAGAAGATGCGTTCTTTCTACGCCTACCTCTTCGGCTTCCTTTTCAGTTTAAAAAATTTTCAAAGCAATCATTTCCTCCTTTTGTTGGACTTAGGTAAGTAAAGTGACAGTCCCAAGAAGAACTACCCTGAAGTAGAAGGGACTTCTGGAAGGAAGCTGCCCGTCGTCTATCTTTTCAGCCAGTTTCATCTCTTGTTTGTTGGATTGGAACAAAAAGATCAGCCGGAATCATCTACTTCACATTTTTTAACCCACCTAAATCTATTAATGCAGAAAATATGCGGGATATTCGGAAAGACGTTCAGCCAAATGACTGTTTCGAGTATTATAGAAATTCTAGGCATGTATTTTGACATCATCGACACCTTAAATGAAGAATCGAAAAAATATGCCTCCATCTCCAGCAACTTTTGGACTTGAATAATCTGACCCTCAAAAAAACTGCAGTTTCAGCTTGGTCTTAGAAAGGAATTTGCCCGATGTTTCCTCCTGTTAGTCGTCTGACCATATGGGATGGCGTCGCATGCATTTCGTCCAAAAATTCCTCTTAGAATTCTGACAGTTCGACCATCGGTTTCGATGATGTCCACTGTGTGCCCCACAGTTGCAGCAGCAATGGGAGCAGGGACGGTGACTTACGCAGGGGTTTATAGTGCCGGTAGACTTGCGTAGCATCTACCTACACTCTCTCCTCCTCCCTCGCCCGAGCCCGGTGTCAAGACAGAGTCAAGAAGACCGGAGACGAGGGAGGCCGCAGGTGGATGGCTCGGACGGATCCTCACCTTGGCGTTCCACCACACCCCCTGGTCCACACAACAATAACCAGGATTTCAACCAACACAACAGAGATTTGGAGGCTGGCACGACCGAAGCCGCACCTAGGCGTACCTCCAACGCCTGGCTCGGATCCCACACTGTGGTGGGAGTGCCATAAAGGCCACATTAAAAAGGAGCCATTGCAGCCTGACTCTCAGACCGCCTCCAGTCAAGGAGGAGGTCCAAGTTACCCCGTCAGTTGGCAACCTTTCAAGCCACGGCTTTTAGCGCACCGTGATAGCTTCAAGCGCGTCAGATTGTTTGTAGTGAGGAGAAAGTGCGCTGAGTCGTCGACCTCACTCTCCCTTCCCACTCCCACACCCCAGCCGCTGTCCGAGCCGGTCAGCAGACTGGAGTGGGGAATGGGCGCGGTGGCTGTCATGGTCGACTGACCATGACTGAGCGCGCCACGGCACGACCTGGCCCCCCATACACACAACACCAGGATTTCACACAACGGGGGTTGAACGGCGTGTCTCTCACTTGCGTGAGAGTGCCGTGGAAGGTGCTGTTTCAGCCCGTCCCCAGCCCACCAGTCCGCCACTCCACACAACACACACACACACACACACACAACGCGACGAACTGCGTGAACCGAGAGCGGGCGTTACTCAGCAACCTTCCTATCCACGACGCTTGACGTGTCGGGATAGTCTCGGACTCAAGTCACCCGTGCAGCCGAAGCCGCATGGGGACCGAGTCGAGATGCGGACTTCCCACTTGCGTGGGAGGTGGCAGATGGGTGCGTGTTGATGTGTGGTGGTGATGGTGGAGGAAGGGAGGGAGTGTGTGGATGTGTGGTGTAACCGGCGTTTGTCTACCGCAGGTCATCGTGGATGCGCATGTGTCCGAATAGACCCATGCGATGCCTGAAAGTGCGAGGGCAGTGTGGGCAGTTGAGACGAGCGTGGTGGGTATAGGTTGGTGCTTCACGCACTGGTTCGCCAGTCTCTGTGCGATGGATTCGCAAGTGACCGACCAGGCCGATGTGTGAGGTGAAGGTGCGGTCGCAGTGAGGGCAGGTGTAGTCCTGATCCTCATCGCTGGAGTCGGAGGAGGTGGTGGTGGTGTCGGTTGTTGCGCGCGGGACAGTCGCCTGAGCGGCCGCCGTTGGAGCAGTGGGCGAGGAGGAGGAGGAGGAGAAGGAGAAGGAGAAGGAGGAGGAGGAGGAGGAGGAGGAGGAGGAGGAGGAGGAGAAGGAGGAGTAGGAGGATGGAAGTGGTGGGTCAGAAGAATTATCAGAGTTAGTTGGCGGCGGAGAGGAGGAGGAGGAGGAGGAAGAGGCGGGCGGGGGGACGATGGTTGATGCCGTTCGAGAGGCGCAGTTAATCCGAATATGTCCAACAAGTCCGATTCGAGCCCGGAATGTCCGTTGACATCGAGGACACGTTGGAAGCGGTTGTGCGACGGCGTTGCGTACTGGGCGAAGTTGTGATTTGCGGGCTTCACGTTTCGCTTTGGCGGCAGCGATGCGGTTGGCTTCGTAGATCGCAGCGCCTGTCTTCATTGTCCTCCTCCAGGTCAGTCGATCGAGTGCGAGCTCCTCCCAGTTGGTGGGGTTGATTTACAGACGTTTCAGGGAGGACTTCAGGGTATCCTTGTAACGGCGAATCTGGCCTCCTTGACGGCGAGAACCCGTCGCGACGTCTCCGTAGAAGAGTCGTTTGGGTAGTCGCTCGTCGTCCATGCGCACCAGGTGGCCGCTCCAGCGCAGCTGCATTTGTCTCAGTATGGCGTATATGCTGAGGATTCCCGTGCGTTCCAGCACATCAGTGTCGGGGATTCGATCCTGCCAGTTCAGCCTAAGGATGCGACGAAGACAACTGAGGTGGAAGTGGTTCAGACGGCGTGCCTGCTTTGCGTACACCGTCCAAGTCTACGCTCTATACCGTAGGGTCGGCAGGATGACGGCCTTGTACATCTTTAGGATTCGTGCGAAGATCTTCCCGGCGATGTTCAGCAAGGAGATGCCGCGGTGATTGTCGCAGACTTGGCGATTCCCTTTGCGCTTGTAGAGATGCACGATGGTTGCGTCTTTGAAATCTTGCGGGACTTCACCTTGACGCCACATCTCTTGGAAGAGCGCAGTCAGGTGATCCATCAGTTGGGGACCTCCATGCTTGTAAACTTCAGCAGGGATTGCGTCCGATCCGGGTGCTTTCCCGCTGGAGAGCTGCTGCACGGCCCTGATGGTTTCCTGGAGAGATGGCGGGAGGTCGAGGCCCACGTTGGTCTCCACTTGCGGCAAACGCTCGATGGCGGCGTCAGAGATGGCGGAAGGGCGATTGAGGACGCCTCGATAATGCTCGGCCCATCGCTGTAGAATTTGTGTCTTCTCAGTCAGGAGAGTGCTACCGTCGGCGCTGAGGAGAGGAGCAGTGCCCTTCGTCGGCGGACCGTAGACAGCTTTGATCGCAGAGAAGAAGTTCTTCCATTCGTTGTGGTCCGCGTAGCCTTGGATCTCCTCAGCTTTGCGAGCAGTCCAGGCGTCCTGCATCTCGCGCAGTCGTTGCTGAAGCTGTCGGCGACTGCGGTAGAAGGCAGCTTTGTTGTCCTCAGTGGGGTGATCTACGTAGGCTTTGTGTAGGCGGTTCTTCTCAGCAAGCAGATTTCTGATGGCGGCGCCGTTGTTGTCGAACCAGTCCTAATGTTGGCGGGGAGCGCTACCGAGGACGGCGAGTGCCGTCGACTAGACCGTGTCTCGCAGTTGACACCAGCGGTTCTCCACGGAGGGGTTCTCGGCAGCGGCGGCGTCGGCAGCCTTTGAGCTAGCTCATTGCTGAAATGAAGATGGTGAGCGGGCAAAGACAACAAGTCAACATTCAGCTTACCTGGGGGTCGCTTACCTCGTGGTCTCCTGCGAGGCTGTAGGCGAATACGCATCTTCGAGATGACGAGGCGATGGTCGGTCCACCCGTCAGCACCTGCGATCGCCTTCGTCACCAGCACGTCCCGCTGATCTCGCCTCCGGACGAGGTCATAGTCCAGCAGGTGCCACTGACGCGACCGAGGATGCCTCCAGGTGGCCTTCTCTCGCTCCGGCAGACAGAAGAACGTGTTCGTCAGGATGAGGCTGTGTTCTGTGCAGGTGCGGAGAAGCAGCAGACCATTGTCGTTTGAGCCGCGGAGACCGTGGGGACCCAGCACTCCTCTCCAGGCAGTATGGTCTGTGCCGACGCGGGCGTTGAAGTCACCAAGGACAATCAACTTGTCCGCCTTCGACACAGTCGCCAAGAGGGCGTGCAGGTCCTCGTAGAATTTGTCTCTGACGGCGTCGGGGTTGGTCATGGTCGGAGCGTAGGCGCTGATGATGGTGGCGAATTTGCCTCCCCAGAGAGGCAGGCGGAGGCTCATCAGGCGATCGTTGATGTCCTGCGGCAGACTGGGCAGTCGTCCCACGATGTCGTTCCGGATGGCGAAGGCGACGCCCGCGTCTCGTCGCTCTGGCCTGGGCCGACCACTCCAGAAGAAAGTGTAGCCGGCACCTGCCTCCTCCAGTTGGCCTTGCTCGGAGAATCGGATCTCGATGAGTGCGGCGATGTCCACCTTGTAGCGGGCGAGTTCTCGTGCCACTAGAGCCGTCCTCCGCTCCGGTCGGTTGCTACTCGGATTGCCTAAAAGGGAACGAACATTCCAGGCTGCCAGAGTGAGCGGGCACACCCTGTCAGTCTGAGGACAACGAGTGGGGCGACGGGAAGGAGGTGGAGAAGAAGATGACGAAGGAGAAGAATAGGCAGAAGAATAGGCAGAGGAAGAGGTAGAAGAGGTAGGATGAGGAGAATGAGTATGGTTGTTGTTTCGATTTTGAGTATTTCGACCATGATTAGGCGTCTGCGGCCCTGGCTAGCCTGAAGACGGCGTGGTACCCAGCCTTTTTAGGCCACCTTTTCTAGGCCCTTCCCCTCGTGGGGGCAGGCAGTGCCGCCCCTGAATCGGGCTGCCCATGTGCCTGGTTGGCGCGACCGAATCCCACTATGGGGCCACGAATTTTATGTTTTTAGTGGAGAACGACCGCATATGCCGTGAGTCCGCGGTCTCCGTCGGCGAAGGTGGGTGCGTCTCAGCGAAGGCGATGCGGAGACCCGTCCCGGCAGCAGCTGTCCAACGGCGTACCAGACAGAGCCTCGTCTCGACGATGCCGGCGCAGTTTTTCATCCGACCAAACGTCCAGCGGAGTCCGCAGTACACTGTGCACGCGGCACAAGCGCACAGGGCCCCCTCACCTGGTTTAGCCCGCCGGCCGAGACGGTTGCCCGGGGTGTGGCCGCTGAGCAGAGCCCAGCTTCTTGGAACCACAGGTGAGAGTTGGGTGCAAGCAAATGGACGCTAGGCGTAGTCTCACCTGTAAGCAAGTGAGCGACCACTACGACCATCACGTGAATCCACCGCTGGACATCCCTACACCCCCGCAGCTTCTGACTTATGTCTTGTCACACATCGGCTTTTCGAGCTTCTGCATTGCCATTCCTGGCTCGCTAGCTTACGTGTGAAGAGATAGAAATACAGAAGCTAAGACTTGAACTGTCCCCATAATAATCGTGCCTTTTGTGTTAAATTTTTTGACTCTTGAGTAATCTATTATTTATTTACTACCCATAGTGAATGGAGTCAATTTTTTGCTGGAAATGTTGAAGTTATGATTTCAAAATAAAGCGAATCCCCCCCTCTCTCTTTCTGGTTTAGTAGCCGCCGTCAGCCAGCCACACCCAACCCTAAGGTGTTGGATAAATATCCTTTCAGATGATCTGCTGCATAATATGCTCGAAGATTTGAGTGTGGGACTCCTGAGGAATAAAGTTTAACCTGCGGTAGATACCCGCGCAATGAAAAGTGATTAGATAGAAAGCACTCTGATGTTTTTGACAGGACGCCTTTTGTGCTACTTAACATAACAGTTGCGAAAGTCTCTCAGTCACCTGAATAAACCGGAACCTTGTGCAATGATTTACCGTACTAACAACACAGGTATTAGCTAAAAGCCCAGACACGCGTGTTTCGCCGATCTTATGCCGCTGCCTGACGCAGTTGCGAGGGATTCGGCTCGTCAGTGGGTCCCCCAGCATTCCCTGTGTGTTTTCTGGTATATGAACTCCAGTTTCAACTTGCCTTGTTTAATTTCCTCGGAAATTAAACAAGGCAAACCGGAACCTGTTTAATAAATGGGGCATTTTCCACATGTAGAATATATGCTATACTGGACATCAATGCAAAATAAAAAGCAAATAAAGTATGGTGAGGGCATATCGGCAGCGATGGTTCACTCATTGTCCACTTTCCAAATGCGAAAATCTCGGCGACGACCGGTCTTGACTGCCGCATACTATTAATTGCGAAAGAAGGAGAGCCCGTAGGGCACAACGGAACGAGTGAGTTCCGTAGGAACGATTGGTGAGCGCCCCCCTCCAGTCGAATTGAGTTTAGTTTTTTAACGGCAGAGCATTGAGGGCTTCCGAATGGGACCTAATAATCGGAATAAAAATCGTTTACTTCTGCTTACTTTTTACAATTATTCAAAAGCATCTTCTTCCTATCCTGACAGAAATCTAGACACCAAGACCACTAACTTCCTGGACGGTGTTCTTAGCTGTTTCTTGATTTCGGGAGACTTTTTCGTACAATAATGTGCCGAAGTGGAGGAAAAAGTGATATGTAGTTGGTGCGGTTTTAATACCCGACGTCTTTCTTGTTATTTGTAGGAGCTGATTTGCCGGTTCCTTTAGGATCCTTCACTGAACGACCAACTATAAGGTGTCCGTCAATTGATCAGTTATGAGGGTCGATAGACTGCACAATAGTCCAATCAGCCGTCGGATAGCAATGAGGATGAAGATAGTTTATTGAATGATGCCATACTGATAAAGCAACGATATTAAAAACCGGTTAACATAAGGTACAGAAAAGTCTTCAATTAGAGTTGGTTAGGGAAAGGTCTTTTGGACAGAGAAACTCCGATCAGTCGTTGGAAAAACCAAGGGAGGAGTAGAGCCAGAGGCTTCCATAAGGGATGGGGCACGGCCTTCATAGTTGACTCTGAAACTAAACACGCACTCTCGACAGTCTGTCCCTTCAAAGAGAAACTCACTTTCGTAAAAAAAACCAAAAAGGGTGATCAGTTCACCTCGGTTGTATCACCCGATGTCCGGTATGCTGACTGAAAACTGCCTAATTCACCCAACACCTGCAGCGATTTTTAAGGGAGGTGTGAGCAAACGTTATCATCAAAAGGAGCAAGATTTTTTGCTTTGAGCAACAACAGGCGCCTTGAGCATGATTTTGTCTACCAACTTCACAACGACGCGTCATATGTTCGGAAACTTCAAAGGAAAAAATCTGAAGAGCTGAAATGGTTCATTACTGACTATTTATCCTGCCATCTTCGACATAATTTCCACTGTTGTCAATAAACTCTTTGAAGTCATGATCTTGGGCGTTAAAATACTCACCGAAATCGTGTTTTTGAGTTTAAATAGTTTGGGCTTGGTAGCGTTCGGAACCAATTACCTCGTCTTACATCGGTTTCCTCGCAGGTTCCTTCAGTTTGACAAAGGTGCAGAAACTAAAAGCGCGATGTCGGGAAACCAAGGCATTACTCAGCGAAATTTAATCTAGATGCAATCGTGAGACATATTACGAGTTTACTTTTGCTTGCAGGTGGATTTTCATATCATTAGAGCCAGTCACGCAATCCCGTCATTGGGCGACCCCCCACGAAGGCAGAAACGTTTTTGGTAGATGTAGTTAATTAAAATAAGCAAATGTCAAGGCCCGACCTTCTTCAGGGGAAAACATTACGATATGCATTTTACAGAAGAAAAAGCAATGGAGGCCGCCACTTTTCTGATCGCTTTTTAAAGTTTGAACTTCTTTTGCGGTGACCCATCACCTTTTGGCTTCTTCAAGTTCAAACATGAAAAAGGGACCTTAGAAGCACACACACGTCTCATCGACTGTAACAAATTAGGAGGAAAGGGTGTGTGTTAACTTTGTAGAAGTCTAAGAGGCATTCGCAGTGAACAATGGAGTGAAGCAGGGCTGCGTACTGGCGCCTACCCTCTTCAGTCTTATGTTCTCTGCCATGCTGATGGACGCCTACCGCGACGAACGCCTCGGGATCCGCATCGCCTACAGGACGGACGGTCACCTCCTGAATCAACGGCGGATGCACTTCCAATCGCGCGTATCCACAACCACCGTTCACGAACTCCTCTTCGCCGACGACTGCGCCCTGAACTTCACCTCGGAAGAGGAGATGCAACGGAGCATGGACCTGTTCTCCGCCGCCTGCGAGAACTTCGGTCTGGTCATTAACACGCAGAAGACGGTGGTGATGCATCAACCGCCACCCCACTCAGTCACAGCCCCCAACACGCCGCCGCAAATCAGCGTGAACGGGACCCAACTGCAAGTGGTGGAGAACTTCCCGTACCTGGGCAGTACTCTCTCCCGCAACACCAAGATCGACGACGAAGTCGCCAACAGGATCTCGAAAGCCAGTCAAGCCTTCGGTCACCTCCAAAGCACAGTTTGGAATCGCCACGGTCTTCAGCTGAGCACGAAGCTGAAGATGTACAAGGCCGTCATCCTGCCGACCCTACGGTATAGAGCGTAGACTTGGACGGTGTACGCAAAGCAGGCACGCCGTC